ATTTACTCTATCGATGATCATAAGGCGAGAATGTAACCGAAACTTTTTCTGTATTTGTAATTTCGATCGCAGTTTTTGTATAGTGAGGAGAATGATTGAGAAATTTTTTCCCATAGATTTACATATTTAGCAACATTTTGTTAAGAAAGCGCCAACCGCTATGTGATAATTGCATTGATCGATGATATCATAATTTAAATCGATAATCAATAGATCAAGCACTGATGAACGGTGATATCGATTCAGTTATTATATTAGTAGGCGATTGAATTAACAAGTTTCCATTAGTTTCATCATTTATCAGCTTCTTTTGAATTTCAGTGTTTAGCATCACAATTTGTAACGAAAACTATCCGTGACAAATTGTGATGTTAAACACTGAAAAAGAAATACTAAATTAATGTATAAAAAACGTAAATACGTCTTCAAATAAAAAGTATGGAAGACAATTTCAATAATTGCCAACAAATTTCTATCAAACTATCAACGAGAACGACGAGAATCAATCGCCCTTACTATTTAAACCAAAGAAACTGAGGACACAAAATAAAATTAACAGTTTCTTTATAACTTTACAAATAAACATGGAATATTCAAATGAAGTAGCAATCATAATAACAACATACGTAAGTGAATGAGCAAAATTTAATTAAAATCATATCAAAAGTCTTGAAAGTGAACTTTCAGTTACATTCGAGAAAATTAGACTTTATGCTTTTGTTACTGCATTAATTTAACCATTTCCATAATATTTCTTATTCATTTTTTCCATTATTGTTATTAATTTGATATTTGATTATTAATTTAATAATTTCCGTTATTAGCATTACTATTATTATTTTTGCCCATTATTATTATTATTGTCTATTATTATTGTTATTCATCGTCAAAAGCAGCAATATAATAAAGATAATCATGTAGCGTGTAACTCAACGAATTTTTTTTTTGGTAATTCCTGTCTTTTCACTTTTTTTTTTGCTTTCTTTGACCGAAAGTACGTTGGCTTCTTCTGCGAATGAACCAAAACAATTCAAGAATTATGCTTTTTTCAATAAATTATTTTCATGTTTCATCTGTAATTTGCATTATTTGCGTATTGTGATTTTTCTTTCTCATTAAATTTCCATTTCCATAGCAAATTATTTTTTGCAAAATTAATTATTAGTCGAGATCTTCTTATTCCTCAACAACAGATTTGCTTTTTTGAGTGTCAATGCTTCGTTTTGATTTGTGTTTTGAGCGAATTTTTTGCTTGCTTTATTTTCAATTCCACACTTTCTAATGTTAGCTTATGTTCATTTGAAATGCATTTTAATTTAACTTTATTTTCAAATTTCTAAATTTTTCACTTTATCGAGCTCTACAAATTTTTAAATCAAATTTCGATTAATTTATCAGACGGATGTAAAATGTTGCTAATTAAAATAAAACGAAAAAGAATTTTTTTCCGTCATTTCCTTTTTTTCGCTTTGCTGATATTTTAACTTTTGCTTTTTCGTGAATTGTTAGAATAGAAAAAATTAATTTTTACATGTAAAGCGCAAAAAAATGGAACATTAATTGGTTGCTAAATTTTTTGCAATTAAAAATTATCAAATTTTTTAATGAATCAAACTTACAATTTTGTTTAATTAAATTTAATGACAAATTCTAAAGTTATGCACTAATTTGGAAAAGCAATTTCTGTTACATAATGGTATTTGTGTAATGAAAATATTTGTAATTAACTTATTATAAGAAATAATAATGCAAAATTATAAGTTTTAGTAATAAGTATGACTTAAAAGTAGCAATCATCGCTGGCATAAATTAAAGAATAATTAATTTCATCATTAATTTAATAAGCATTAGAAATTATAAATGCTGTAGAATATTAATAATATATGTTAACATAAATCGCAATAAATTTTAACTGCTCGTTTCTTCAATTGTTTCATCTATGTCATTGATTTAATTCCAAATTTAAATTTTATGCCGAATCTTAACTAATTAGAAATGAACAAAAACAAAAAAAAAACAAACTCACAAACATAATACACACATAATAGGCATTATTCACCACAATCATCATCATTATCATCATCATCATTATCATTATTATTATGTCACATATATTTCGAAAAGATATGATATTAAATCACAATAGCAATATCTCTAAAATTTAAAATGGAGAGATTTTTCGGTGCTAATTGAAATTTTTTAGATCTGTCAAAATATTTGTACATTGCAGTACAATATTATTGTACTTGTCATCATTATTATTATCATTATTTTAATCTTAGTTAATACTTTTAATTTTTAGTACTTTTAATTAATTCCAATTAATACTTTTAATTAATTGTTGAACGGATGCCATTATAAAAGAATTTGAGATGGAAGATGCAAATTTAATAATGAAATAATTGAATGTAATCAATAAACATAATGAAATAATTGATGTGTTCTAAAAGGGATATCCTATGAATTTGTTTGTTTTCATCAATAATTTACGGCAAATAGCGGATAAATTTGTAGCATTAATTTTACAATTCGAAACATTTTTTTCTGGATGAAATACATATAAATTGCAAGAATTGAGTATTCAGGAATATCTTAAATGATAGGAAAAGAAGCGATCAGAATTTATACTAAATGATCGATGCGATAAATTAATTGACAAGAATTATTATCGTTGGAGAAAAATGTTGACAGTTTTTGTTACTTGTACTTTCAATAAACTATTATCGATTGATTGATTAAGCTTAAGTTTTTCGATGATCGCCCGAAGTTTTATATTATTAAGTAATTGGATGTTTGAGTATCGCGCTGAAAGTTACCTAAATAATAGAGAGATTCAAATTTTCAAAGATAAACAATTATAAATATTACTAACAGAACTAAATGTAAATTCCTCCTGTTCAGTAATTTCGATTGTCTGTTTTCATTTAACCTTAACTTCGCCTTAATTTTATCGTCAAATTTCATATGAAATTTTAATTAGCTAAAAATAAATAAAAGAACGAACAAACATAAATATATTTGTAAATAGCATTATCACTATTATATAATGCATACCTTTGCTGTCTTCAATATCAATTACTACTCTCATTATCATTATCACAATTATTATCGTTATCATCACTATTACTATCATAAATACTTTATCATTATTATTATCATCATCATTATAATTATCGTTATCATTGTCATTGCCATTATTATTCTCA